GTTGTATCTCGCAACTGTATTTTAACTTTATGGTTTAGTTAACTTAACAGCGAGTCCTCCAGCAATAAAATCGCTGTCAGTGTGAACAAGACATTTTCTAATTCTATGACATTGAATAGCTCCTCCCACTGTGAAATCTCATTGTTTCTCTCTTCATAACTGTACATTAAGCACTGTACATACATCTGATTGGCTGTGAACGTGTCATGTCACTCAGCAGTTTCTCGTTCAGTGTGGGCAAATGATCTTGGCAGTGAATTCATCACATCGTGTCCCGTTTGGACATCTTATTGAACTTGCCATTAGATTCTTTCAAAAAATGCACATTATGTAGCATATTTTGTAAATATATAAATGATGAATTATAAAACGCCTTCCTGACTGCTTACTAATATAGCTCCTCACTATATTTGTCTAAATATTTGTATAAATGGATATAAAGTAAAATATCAGTATTTTATAATGGAGTTGTAGAGATATTTAAAACCTGAAGAAACACATTTAACACATTTAGAAACACATCCCTCTTTACCATTGCCTTTGAATTTCAATAATGCTTAAAGTATCATTTTAAATAATGAAACTGCAATGTAACAGCTCGATAAATGTAATACATACACATTTTAGTTAAAAACTCCATCTTTGACTGAGCAATTTATTCATTATATTTATAATCACAAGTTTGCATGATAGTCTTTATCCGGCCAAGTCAGTCAAGTGTGTGTGTGTTTTCACATTAAGTGCATGTACCCAAGTGCTTCCTAATTTTCCTGAAGGCATCTCTTTTTTTTTTCAACCGATATGTAGCACAGTTGATACTTTGTAATATGGATCATCTACTCTCTTTTGTTTTTTTACTTATACTAAGATGTATATACTTTCAGTAACCCTGCGGAGACAGTGCATGTAAATATGTATTGCACTTACCATCAGTTTATTATTTTTCTATTTAAGGAAACCTACTTTAACCATTGAATCACACTCTTGTGCTGCTCGTGTAATTGATTTGTAAACAGCGCTGCATCATAGTTGCACTGACAGGTTACTCAATACTAGTCAAAACCTAACTGCACTCTCTCATATTTTTCAATAACTGATAATACTAATTTGCACTTGTTAAATATGTTAAATAAACGAAGCTATTTCTTTTTTCTTTCTTAGAATATTTCACTGTGGATAGACCCGTCACTATAAATATATATATTGATATAAATTTTTCCCAGCAGCCAATGTGCAGCCATTCTGTTTTCATAGACAGTTCAATTGCATTGGCTTTAGTTTGATCCTGGTAGTGTTTATCTTATTAACTAAACTCTTAGTTCCAGTTATTATGCACTAGAGCCCTTCTACTGTGGTTAATGTTTGTTTGAAATATTATTGATGTTTAAACGCTCTGCCTTAATTTATGAATATATGATAGTCATGCACAACGTAGCCTCAGGGGAGACTATATAACGTGTGTATGAATGTGTGTGTGTGTATCGGTGTGTGTGTGTGTGTGTGTGTTTGTGTATGTGTATATCATGAAGAGGTCTTATACTGGAGATGTTACCGTACCAATTAAAGCATTCAATATTGACGACAAATTGCCCATATTGATATTTCTGTATCAAAGTGTTGAGTAGTATTTCATGGCACTTACAGTCCAAACTGACACCAAATTTAGGAATGGTTTTGTTTTGTTTTGGACAATCAGTGATTAACACAAAGGAAATCCATGTCATTTTATTTGTAAAAATCATATAAATAAAATGATACTGAAATGTTTATCGGAATATTGATTTCATTTCATTTTTAGTATTTAAAGAGATATTTATGAGACATTAAAGAGATATTTTGTGAGAATATATAACACTAACGTTTTTGCCGAAAGTGATCACAATCTCATTTTCTTAATTGTTGTCATTCACTGATGTGAAAATATGGGTTTATATCTGGCAACATGATAAGTCCTGACATTTTAGGGTGTTTTCTCCCAAAATACAAGAAGATTAGACTGTGTATTATTGCCAAAATGTGGACTGTGCACCCACCACAATGTTTTGGGAAATGAAGGCAGGATATTATGTATTTACTGTTCTCATAAAAGCATAAACTTTATCAAAATGACTGTGTGTAAATACATGAATGTTCTTCATTGTAAATGTAACCTACATCTAAGGAAATCTTACTACTTACATTTTGTATTTATTGTAACAACACTGTTAATGTAATGGCACGTGTATGAAATTTTGATCATTAAAACATTACAGATGCTCACAGCCATGAAGTGATTCATTTCCAAATAAAAGTGTGTTTGTTCTATCCAGAATGAATGAATGAATTAATCTTTTACATGGAAACCTATTTACACATTTCCTACTTTTTATCTCAGAATTGCAACTTTGTATCTTACAACTGTGACTGTATATTTTGTAATTGTCCTTATGTCTCAGAATTGTGACTTTTAATTGTCAATGTTGCGACATCTCACAATTATGAATGTCCCAAAATTGCAGTTTAATCTCTCGTAATTGAGACTTTACCTCAGAGTTTATCACATTGTCATAATTGACTTTATTTCTCCCATTTGAAACCTAATTTCTATCTCACAACTGTGAATTTTTCAAATAGTTTATATTTCTCAAAACGTTTTGTCAGTGTTGCAACATATCATAAAAGTATGACTGTCTCACAATTATGACTTTTATGGCATTGCAGTTTTTTCATTTTTGTGACCTCACAATTACAACTTTACATATCGCAGCTGTGATTATATTTATTTCTACTATTATATATGGTGACACTGTTGTAATTGTAACTTTGTTTCACACAATTGCAACTATTTCTCACAGTTCTGACTCTATATGTCACAAGTTGACCTCATAATTTGGCTTATTTTTTGTCTCACAATTGCAAGATTCCCATAACTACATCTCTCTCTCTCTCTCTCCCTCTTTTGTAATTGTGACAATTTTCTTGTGATGTCTCGCAATTATAAAAGCATATCACAGCTGTGATTGTATTTCTTGTAATAGACATAGCTCAAAATTGTGACATTAATATATCACAATTGTCTTTATTTCTTGTATTTGCAACTTTAGTACAATTTTGACTATTACAGTTGACTATCACAATTTTACATTTTCAAACTATTAATCCAACTTTATGTCTTTGACTATCTATCTCATAATTGTGATTTGTAATGGTGACTTGCATATCTTTATTTCTCACAGTTTTGACTTTATATCTCACATTCTTGCTGATTTTAAACTTCCTATTACCTTTTACATACTTTCCTACTATTAACTAGGCTTCATCGTTTTAAATCACTGCCTGAGGCCTGAGCAGGAGAACAGATCTTCTTTGAGTCTTATTAGCAGACACCTTCAGGTTTTCCCACAGATGAACCCAACATATGACAACATATACACTCATCTAAAGTGTGCGAGACATCCATTCCATCCAAAAATCTTATAGAACCTTATGTCTTTTTAAATATAGGTGTTCGGTTAATTAACCACTTTGAGCTGCTAATCAGTTTGATCACTTGTTGCCAACTAGACCAATGACTCTTTGAGTTGTTTGTTTGGATCTCGGCCCAGTGAGAAGTCTAAAGTAAAGAAAAGCTGTCTAACCGAGTGTGACTGAATATCCAGGACAGACGTATCCCTGCTAATCTGTCTTTATTGTCTGTGCTCAGATACACAGACATGCACACTCTCACAGACGCCATTGGCAAGCCATCATTGACGTCTGGTTTTAGCTACTGCTAATTAAATGCAGGGTTATGCTAATTGGCGTTCTTGTGAAGCTTACACACACACACACGAATGTCAGAATGATTTAGAAATAGCCTGTAGGGACATGCCTTTGATATGTGTGAGATGTCAAGGCAGGGCAGCAGTGAATTGGTATAAATCACCTCATTTGGATGTACCTGCTCATGCTGCCTTCCACTTTATGAAAGCAATTCACCTATTCTGTCAGGCCTTACATGCGATTTCATATTTCAAACATTACTGGAAAGAACTGTCATCTGAAGGCTAAGCCTTGAACGTAAGAATCTTTCCAGTTTTTCCTACCCCAAACACACTCATCGAATAATGTAGTTCAAAATAAGTAGAAAAAAGGAAATGAACACCCATTTAGTAGAAAACAAAACTTTATTTAAACACCGTGTGACCCCTATTTGCCACATACATTGCACAGTAAGGAGGAGAAGTCACATCATTGGGCATCATGTCACATTGGCTACTGTAAATGCACTGGTCTAAGGTCCCAAAACCTTGAAATCAACATATTTGGTGACATAAAACCATTCTTTCCTTTTAACCTCTGAAAGTGGTCTCAACTTGATAAACCAAAAAGAGATACAAACAAAAAAAAAACAATACAATTCATGTAGTGTTCATTCTTCCAGCTCATTTGTCCAAGGTGTCAATTTGTGTGTGAGTGTGTGTGTGTGTGTGTGTGTGGGTGTGTGTGTGTGTGTGTGTGTGTGTGTGTTTAGAGCTGAGGTGGGGAGCATGTGGGCACATTCACTGGCCGTTTCTACACTGAGTATTCAGAGGAAATCTCAGACTATAGTTCTGCTACATCTGAATATCCCTTAAGAGTAATGAAAGGAAAAACGAAACGTACTAACAACAGCATCAGAAACTTTACAACCAAAAAACAATACAAAAACTGAACATCTATGAGACACAGAATGACCCGGTGCAGTAGTGATTAGAGTCTGTCGGAGAGAAAGCTAGAGTTGATAAGATACTGAGATGACCTGCCATTTTGTGCAAAAAACGAGGCAGAATATCAGACGTGTTCTCTAAAAACGAGGCAAAATCGACAATCGTAGAGCCGAATCTCTGAAAACGAGAAAAAAAAGACTCATGAGGAATGGGAGAAGAGCTTGTCTTCTTGTGTGATTAGAGTCTGTCGGAGAGAAAACTAGAGTTGATAAGATACTGAGATGACCTGCCATTTTGTGCAAAAAAACGAGGCAGAATATCAGACGTGTTCTCTAAAAACGAGGCAAAATCGACAATCGTAGAGCCGAATCTCTGAAAACGAGAAAAAAAAGACTCATGAGGAATGGGAGAAGAGCTTGTCTTCTTGTAAAAAAAAAAAGGAAAGACAGGAAGTTGTATTACTGTGTTTGGTTTTGGTCCCCTGTGTACAAAACGAAAAGATACATATTTATTTACATATAAATGGAATACAAAAGAAAGAACTGACTTGCCAAGGCACCTTGAAATGCTTTACATAAAGGAATCCTCATCAATTTGATTTACGTTTACCAAAAATAGAAATGATCAGGCCATGCTTGTTTGCTTTCTGTTGCTCAGTCAAGTTTTTTTAACTCCCTGTGGAGTTCGGTTTTGGGGGGCAAGAAACAAACATCGATGAAGCTTTTTCATTCATCCATCCGTCTTTTCTGTCTTCAGGACGAGGAGCTGTTTGGCCTGTAGCTCCATTTCTGCGGCCCTCTTCAGCGCCACGTCAACCAGCAACTGGAAGCCGCTGAAGTCCTGGGTGAGGTCGGGAGGGGTGGGTGGCGGGGTGTTGAACAGGCCGCTCTGGGGGCTGACGTTACCCTCTCCGCGACACCCGAACAGGCCAACTGCGTCTGTGAGTGGCAGCTCCGTGGCCCCCTCCACGCCGAGGAGCGTCGACGTGCCGATGCCTTGCGTGGCTGTGGTGATGGTGGTGTGGCAGATGACAGAGGGTCTGGGTAAGACAGGTCCGGGTGAGGAGGGTGTTTTGGGGGACAGGGCCTTTTTGGGGTAACCGTTAGAGGTGGGTGTGTTGCTGGTCGGGTGAGGTGAGCCGGGTTCGTAGCTGCTACGGTCCTCTCCGTTTGCGAGCAGGCCGTGTTTAGGAGACTGGGAATTGTCGCTGAGCATCTCGCCGCCCTTGCTGCCCCGTCGCGAGATGGTGAACTGGTTGGGGTCCTTGCCGTCTTTCCGGAGCATCTCGGGAAGGAGTCGCCGCCGGGCGTTTATAAACCAGTTGCACACCTGTGGAGAGAAGAACAGATTATGATATATATTGTAATGCCAACATACTTACAATAATAAATGGGGATACAATAATATATCAATATCACAAGACAATTTCTCTGCACCATATTGTGTCATAAATTTAGATCCTGTTATCAATATTTTTTATTTATTTCTATAATATATGTCATGTCCCACAATCCAATAATGAATAAGCAGGTAATCTAAATAAGCTAAACAAGCTGCATTTTTTTTTGTGGAAATATTTGTTTTGTTGTTTTAAACAGTAAAACAGAAAATAAAAATAAATGTTTTAATTATATTTTAAAATTAAAAAATGACTATTAACTTAAATTACTAACATTATCCCCCGGTTTCACAGACAAACCCACAATCCAATAATGAATAAGCAGGTAATCTAAATAAGCTAAACAAGCTGCATTTTTTTTTGTGGAAATATTTGTTTTGTTGTTTTAAACAGTAAAACAGAAAATAAAAATAAATGTTTTAATTATATTTTTAAATTAAAAAATGACTATTAACTTAAATTACTAACATTATCCCCCCGTTTTACAGACAAAGCTTAAACCTAGTCCCAGACTAAAGTGTAAATCTGAGCTGTTTTAACTGAAAGAAACTAGCACTGACTGATCTTAAAATATATCAGTGCCTTTGTTTTGTATCAAGATGTACACCAGTAATGTTTTTTCTAAAGCATGTTTGTAAAAAAATTACGGAAATTTCCTAATTAAACAATGGCCTAATCCTGGCTTAGTCTAAACCCTGTCTGTGGAACCGGGCCTAAATTAAATAAGTAAAACTTTAAGACATTTTTTATAACTTTTTCCACCTGTCATTCTTCCAAAGTTCAAAGCCTGCAGTCCTTTTATTTTGTTTATTTTGCAGCGTTGTATCACTTTAAAATGGAAATTCATTATGCTGTATTGAGTTAACATGTGACGGTTCTCTGACTCTATTTTTGTTTTTCCTCTTTTAAAAAGCTGAGCTGGCAGTTCAAATCAGGAAGCTCTCAGCGGTGACGATTTCTCTCAATCACCTAAGTAACAGTTCACCTTTATCCCTCAGATTGTGCTCTTTGTTAGGCCTCAATCATGCTAATAGCGCTGTATCTTTCACGGCTCTGGTCTAGTCTCACCTGAAGGGGTGTTGAGATCTACTCTAATGCAAATCCAACATTTCAGGCTACAAAAAACACGTGAATGCTTGACTCCAGTGTGGATTACTACTGTGAGGTAACAGCCAACTGTTAACACCTTTAGTTTATATCAACAATTGAACTCTGTTGGCCTTTTTAGTCAATGCAGATTGCGCACCACAGACAATTGATAATTTACATTAAATGTTAAGTAAAATTTTGCACAGATCTCAAATCTGAAAATAAACTCATCATTGCTCATCTAGGACCATCAAATAATTACATAATTAAAAAGTATGTGCAATTCATTCTTAATGTTGATTTTTTTTTTTTATTATTATTTATTTCATTTTATATAATTTTTTTTATTGTCTATTTTGATATTGCAAGTACTTTTATACACTCAGGCAATACTGTAAATGTTAACAATCCCATTTATATTTTTAGCCTGGTATATTTAACCCTTGTGCGCTCCTCATTTGGGAGTCACTAGGCCTGTCACGATAACAACTTTTTGTTGTGCGATATATTGCCCCAGAAATAATTGCGATAAGCGATATTATTATTTTAAAGACCATTTTATGCCACTGAATATATAATCATAATGTAACAGCATAATAATGCAAGAAGGCCTACACACTTCCAAATGACAACAAACTTTACATTTTTAAGAATATTTAGATCATGGAAATTAAGTATTAAGTTCTAACAAAAAGTGCAAAGTAACAAGTAGAAAAAAGAAAAATGCACAAAGAATTGTTGTATGGAGATTTTTCCATCTACAGATTTTTCCCGGACCTTCTTTTCTCTGTAAATTAAGGGTGCACTGTATTGCTGAAAAACACAATCACTACTTAGCAGTCAGATGTTCGTATGCACAAAGGCACAGATCCCTAAACAAGACCATATCTGCAGATGAAACTTTGTTTGTAGAAGCATTTTTTTAATTTGAACTAGCATCTCATGACTACACTTTCTTTGTGCATTTTTCTTTTTTCTACTTGTTACTTTGCACTTTTTGTTAGAACATAATACTTAATTTCCATGATCTAAATATTCTTAAAAATGTATGTACAAGAAGCTGCAAAAGACACAGGCACAAGTAGAATGCAAAAAATAAATTTTTAAGTAAATATAATGGGCGATATGTTGCGTCACCATAAATTATTGAGGTCATGTACATATATTGCGCGATAAGTCGATATATTGATCATTGTCACACTCATGGTCTTCACGGTCAAAAGTGACCGGACACCTGAAATGTAACTTTTTGTTTCTTCAGTAAAATCAATCTGATTTTTGTTCAATAATATTTTTTCTTTTTTCTTTTGTATTTTGAGAGAATGTTATGGTATTAATTAATATTTATGCAATAATTATGATACATTTTTCCCATTGATAAAAGTAAAAAAAAAAAAAAAAATCTAATTTTTCAAAATTATTTTCCAATTAATGCAGTATTTCAGATTAAAATAGAGACTAGGCCTTTAAAATCAATTTTTTGAAGGCAGAATAGCACCTCCTGATCAGAGCAAAAAAAGAGAGAAAAACCTGTAATTTCATAACCACTAGATTCCTATATAGGACTCAATAAAGAGGCTTGTGAATTCCCTAGTTGTTTTTATACATAATTATTTACTTTTATTATGTTGTGGGTGTATATGTATATTAAGGCATTCTCAAAGGCTACTTTTTGTCAAGGTTTATATTTTTTGTTGTTTTAAATGTTGATTTGAAGTGTAGATTTTTGCATTATTATTACTACATTCAAACCTGAACACACAAAGCATTTTGTTTCACAAAACTTTAAAATTCTATAAAAATGTAACAAAAATGAACAGGAATGCTTTATCGGAGCTTAATCTTTCTGGGTCTGATCTGATTTGAACCTCTTAATTCAGTCTTCTGACACATTTTGGCTATATGGTTATAGCCATACCAGTTCATTTGAGTATGTATAATTCTGTATGTGTGTGTCTGTGAGTATGTGTAAGTAAGTGTGTGTGAGTGGATGTATCGGTTTTACACTCTTGATGATTTAGAGTGTAACCCCTTCCTTGCTGTCCCCTTTTTTTTTACTGCATTGTAGTTGAATTATTGATTTTATTTTACATAGTTGCAGTGTTACAGTCACACCAGTTCATAGGTGTGTGTGTGTGTGTCCGCGCGTGTTGGTGTGTTGATTTTGCAGTCTAGATGTTTTCGAGTTTCACCCCTTCATTGCTGTGCAATTTTTTCTGCATTGTGGGGGATTTGTAGATTGTACACACAAAAATGTTCTGTATTTTTTTCCCATTTCCCATTAATTTCCTATGGTTGGTCATTTCTGACCGAAGACCATGACTGTGACTATTTTGTTTATGACCACTTAGCTTTTTCGAATCATGCCCTCAATTTTTTTTGTGTGTTCACATACCAAGTGCCATAAAATCACCAAGTTTCGTACCATTCAGATGAAGCTATGATTTTTAAAAATTCAAAATATAACATTTTTCAGTCAGAAGTGACCGAAGACCACACAAGGGTTAAACTTAGTACACCTGCTACAAAATAAGCAAAGCTGTTTTGCTTTTTACAATTCTATTCTGGCATACTTTCCCAATAAAAACACTTGTCACTATGCCATAATAAAATAATAACATAAGTTCTAACTTTTCTTTCTCAGTATCCCAAAAGCCTGTTTTCAAGATTCAGTTCTCAGTATGGTAATGTTCCTGTATTGTCTTCCAACGAGTCTCTTCAGAAGAGAAGCCTCTTTGGCTCTCTGGGTAATGGGGCTGTATTGTGTATCCCAACGGTCCGCCTGAGCCTGGTAGTCTTCACTATGTTAATGTGTGTGTATTGTGTCTCACTATTGTTAGTGAGACAGCTGGCTGAGCGCAGGGGAAATTCCTGGCCCAGTGTCTGAGCAAGTCTCTCTCTCTCAATGTGGCCACATCTCAGATGATTTAAAACAGTTATTCACTCATCTGTCCACAGGAATTCTCTCCATTGACTGCATTCACAGGAAGTGTTGATTATATGACGCTAAAACTCAGCGGGGAACAGAATGTGTGATCTTGAACGCAGTAGTGCTAGCGAAAAGAGCTGACTCTTTCTTTCTTCTGACACTTTTTTTGGCTAGCTGCTAGTTATGACATTGAACCTTTCGGTTTCCTACACAAGTCAGTTGAACTAGACATTGATGACAGCTAACTGCTCTCCTGTGAAGCATATAAATAGCTTACTGATCAACAAAACAGAAAACTGAAAAATTCCCCTTCGCATTCTTGACGGAAACAAGCAGTCGTGAGAAACTTCAGACCTTCTATGAAGCATAACTTCAGAAACTGCTTTGGGTCATTCAAACATCTTTTTATTCAGGGTTCCCAAACCTTTTGGCCAATGATTTCCCATGACTTTCAGTCAATTTTTTAATCTTTTAATCTATTTTTTATACATAGTATTTTAGATATCGCATTCACCAATGCAATTTCTAGACATTAAAATACTTCAGAACAAAGTAAAACCAGATAAATCGTCACTAGAGATTTTTATTTACTTATTTATTTAGTTTATTTGTTTGTAACTGAAATAAAGCTTAAAATAAAATAAATAAATTAGATTAAAAACTTCAACCTCCAAAAAAATGTTTTGGCAACTGAAATAAGTTTAAGGCTCTAAAATGACTAAAATGGAAATAAAAAAGTAATTTTAAGCTAAATAAAACTGTTAAAACTGCTAAAAAAAAAAAAACGACAACTAAAAATTTAAAAAATAAAAGTGAATTCAAAGCATAAATAAATACTATAAGAGTATATAAATAATACTAAAATAACACTGCCTGAATGTTTTAACATTCCCTGATATTCCAAGTTGTCCATAATCATGGGAACTTTGTTTATTCTGATAAGCTGCATGACTTTAGGGATGTAACGATTACCGGTTTGACGATAAATCATGATAAAATTCCCGACGGTTAGTGTTACCGTTTCATCTTTTAATTATCATTAAAACCTTATTAGATTACCGCGATTTGAACAACTCGCGATAAATAAATACTGTCCAGCATAAAGCACAGCTTTAAGTAACAGTTTCAAGTGCGCACAGCACGCAGAGTGGTTTCGTTTTGAGTGAAAACAGGGCGGAAAAGCTTGGGAGGTTTTAAAAGAGTGCTAAGGGAATTATACAAATGAATATGAATGAATTAATTATGAACGTACCTCTGACTGTCTTCAGAAAGGATTCGATGGCATTTTGTTTTCATCTTCACTCCATGTAATACCTAAAGGAAGTGTTCTTAATCGCAATACTGCTTTGTCCACGGAGGTTACGGGAAACAGCTCTAATTCAGCTTTTCCATAAGCGCCACCTGCTGTCAGCGAGTGGATTTACAAAGACTTATATTTACATTCAGCCTGTGTGTGGTTTCTGTCTGGCCAAAAATGGACTGAATTAGCATGCCCAGCTGTAAATTTTGACCGGTTGATGTGGATTCTACACATTTAAACAATTCAGATAAGTTATCTAGAATTATGTATGGAGCAGATAAAATACATATAATCATTTATTAATCAGTTATCATTTTGACTTATATCTTTTCTTTATTTAAAGGCTGAAATGTGAGGTTTACCTTTTTATGAAACTTTTTCAAAGCTTTATTTGAACATTTACATTAGATATTTTAACATGCTATTAAACTGTTAAGTTGTCATTTAAAATCTGAACATCATTGGTAATGTTATTGTTTTAGTGATTATGCAAACAAAAAGAGATTTTATTTGTTGTTTGTTGATTTTTAAATATAAAACTTGGTGAAGTGATTTATGTGTCTAAATCACTTTTTTAACATCTCCAGCACATTTTAACAATACCGTGATAATAATGATAACCGTGATCATTTTGGTCACTATAATCATGATAAGAAATGTTCATACCGTTACATCCCTACATGACATACAGTTGTTCTTTTGTTTGTTTGGGTTTCTTTCTTTAGGACTGTACTAGGCCATGTACACACACTTTCTGAAAATGTTCTGTACCTGTAGTGTGGAGAGATGGGTCTGCTTGGACAGCAGGGCTTTTTCCTGCTCTGATGGATAGGCATTGTAGCGGTGTTGGTAGAGCCAGTCCCGAAGTATCTGTACTGACTCTTTGGGCAAGTTTCCTCTCCTCTTCCTCTTCCCTGACACTCCTCCATTTGAAGAGAGGTCAAGAGGCACATCTAAACTGTCCTCGTCCTCTGTCTCACTTCCAGACATCGCCAACACACCTGTAGTCATGAGACGTGAAATATTGCCATTATGAACTATGAATTTCACAACATTATTCTTTCCTTATGTGCATATGTGTGTATGAAAAGGCTTTGAGAACCAGAAAAAGTATGAAGTTAGGTTTATGTATTCGAAATGTGTTTGTAACCGTCAAAAAGTGTGTTTCAGGGAATGAGTAAACTCGGAATCAGTGTGTACCCACCCATATGTGTGAAGGAGGACAAAAGACACCCAGTCAAATATCAATCCCCCCAACCCCTGCCGAGGACCCTCCTCCTCCCCCTATCCTACACACACACATCCTACACGTCTCTCCCTCCAAAATGCCAACCGCTGAACGCTACACAACAGCACCTGGCCGTCTGTATGCATGTATAAGCGTGCGTCTGAGAGAGAGAGAGAGAGAGAGTGTGTGTGTGTGTGTGGCAGCTGATGTGTCACATCCCTGCTGTCAAGCAAAGCCATGTGATTCATGGTTGGAGCGGAGGCGTCACAAAGAGTCTAAACTGTGTCAATGTTTCATCGAGCCTTTGTAAATTTGTAGACACTGCAAAACTCACTTAAAGGGCCAGTTTACCTATTTTCACACTCTCAAACCTGCATGACTTTTTTTTCTATGAAGCACAAAAGGTGACGTTAGGCAGAATGACAGTATCATTAACTATTCACTTTAATAATATGAAAAAGGTGAATCATGACTGAGTATGTAACTTCTGCCTACCATCTCTTTTTGTGGAGGACTGAAAGTCATGCAAGTTTGGAATAACATGAAGGTGAGTAAATAATGACAGTTTTGATTTTGGGCGAACTCTCTCTTTAAATGCTGATCTGACATCTTTTCTTGATGACCTGAATATTATTACCACTTGTTCCTACGTAACATAAACCGGTTTAATTTGTCAATAACACCACTCAAGAGTGCTGAGGGGGACTTTTAGTTCATGAGCACTCTGTAAGTGAAACAAAACTTTCCCCAACTTCAGCGTGGGACACTTCACAGTCTGAAAACGAAACACGTGAAATCACGTACATATCTATCTTTAAGGCTGTGTGAGAAAACGACTGAACTTGTGAAGAGGAGTACATTTGTCCTCGGCCTACATGAGGAGGAGGAGGAGGAGGAGGAGGAGGGGGAGGGGAACCTGTTGCAGATCTCAAGAACGAACAAAAGAATGTCGCTTGTGGGACATTTCAAACTCTGTTTTTTCGACTTTTCACAAGATGGAAACTTATGAAATCACGCCAGGTGACAGATAAAAGGCTGACACGACTCTCTACACGGTTAGACGCCATGAAATATGAGAACCATTAACTTAATAACAGAGAATAACTCGGGCTCTATTGTGTGCTGTGAGAAACACGAGGTCGGAGGGAATGTGAAAGCGTCGCCTCGAGGAAGCAGCGCGAAATACACAAACTTCACAAAAGGAGGTCAGGAATTATTGTTGCACATTTTAGACCGCAACCCAATGTTCAAATGCGGTGGAAGCAAAAAAGATTAGTCGTCAAATAAATACAAAAATGACACTTGGAAAGTTCCCCGCATATTCCCGACAAAAATTGAGTCAGTGTTATGAGAAACTCTTGAACATTTTTTTCCCCAAGCCAAAATGCGTTCAACTATTACACGAAGGCATTTTATACCTACTGCACAACAAACCTTAGAAGACTTAGGCTACATTTGAGAGCATTTGAAGTTATAGTTGTAGACTGGTTCGTGAAACAACACTTTAAAACATCTCGAATAAATACGACTGTTACATTAGCACGTTTGTACAAAATTAAAAGCTTTTATGTAGTGAATAGAAAACACGCGTGTTAATAACGCGAATCGGCTCGTTGTGACAGCCCGCCAGCACATGGTGAGAAAAAGGCTGTTTTGTCTGCAGCGGAAAACAATAGCAGTATGCCAGACATTTTCTGTTCAACCATCATCGATAAGTTCCGTCCAGTCGTTACAATCACCGATAAAAATATAACATATATCGCCGCTATCCCCCATATCGAGAAGATACGTACCCTTTTTGGTCTTCATGTCCGTCAAAATTCCCCTTTTCACGTTGGCAACAACGAGGTCGATTCTTCCTCGCTTTAATCACACACAACTGTATTATTCCAGATTGTTGTAAAGTATCGAGCGAAATATTTCTTTTTGTCGAGGAATCGCCGCGGAGCGCGTTTTTCACTTGTCGGAGACGCAACACATTGTCGGGTAACGTTACCTGGGCCAGGCAGCGCGTCTCACTCAGTGTGTTTGATGTGGAAACTGGGTGACAGCTATCTTTGACAGCTGCGTGACTCAACGCGGTTAGAACCTCCCCTCCGAGGGCAAGAGGGAAAAATCTGACATCAGACATACAGAAAGGATAAAAAGAGACAGAAAAGGGGCTTTTTGACAAACCGATCCGAGTCGTAAACGTATATAGAGAAAGATCCAGCGCGCGGAATGTGTTGTTTTGACGTGTTTTGGACGTAGAATTGGATCTAGTTCCTGCACGTTTCCCTTTAATGACTGCGGCAGAGAGACAGGAAGCTGGTTTATTATGAATGTAGGTTAACATTACCAAGAGGCAGACACATGGCAGGGATATATTTAGGACTGCGTTCATCAGCATACTTCTTTTTGGCGCTCTACTCCAAAACAACATTTTTAATGGCGTTGTTTCTCTTTCGTTGAGATGCTTGGATGTTACTTGTTTATGTCTAACTGTTACTGCAGGATAGTGTTGTTGTGTTATCAGGTGCAATGCGTCATTATTTCAGGTGACAGATGTCCATGATGCTGTTGCAAACCTGAAAGCCAGTAGGGATTGAATTCGAATGTAATCATTTTGATTCCCATTCTTCTTAACGATTACTGGATTAATGATTCTTTTCGAGCGTTTGGAGAATATTTGGAAATAAATGCGGGTCTTATTAGTCTTAAATGATGACATAATTTCAAATTTAACAGAACAACACATAAAAAAAAAAAAAAAAACAGTTTACCACATTTTTTTGCAAAACGTGTTTACCTTTTAAAGGGGTGCTATTATGCTTTTTCACTTTTTCAACTTTAGTTAGTCTGTAATGTTGCTGTTTGAGCATAAAAAAAGATCTGTGAAGTTACAAAGCTCAAAGTCCACTTCAAAAGGAGATATTTTATTTAACAGAAATCACTTTTCAAAAACTACAACGAACGACTTGTTTGGACTACAACGCATATTTTCCGGGATTTGTGATATCACAAATATCGACGAATGGGACGAGACCTGGCTGAGCTGCACTAGAGAAGGCAACCAGTGTTATCACGATGTCAGAGACATGCTAGCTTTCCCAAGGCAGACACTTAGAGTGGTTACAATCATCCGGGTTTAAATCGCGCTCAAATTGATTTGATTTTGACGCAATATTTATACTGAAGCTCTTAGGCGGCTATGGTAAGGGGCGTGACATTTCCCGACCAGGCGCCGAGTGCTGCCAATCACAACACACACTGGTCCAGCTAACCAATCACAACACACACTGGCCCAGCTAACCAATCACAGCACACACTGGCCTAGCTAACCAATCACAGCACATTTCGTATTTCAGAAGGCGGGCCTTCATTTGATACAGGAAATATTCGAGCCTTCATGCCAGACTGGGGAGAGAGGTGTTGTAATAATGTAAAATATGTGAAAAATAATGTGTTTTTTGAACAACCTAGTATGAGAGCCTGTTCTAGTACACGCCCAAAACAAAATCAAGACTTTGTAAAAGAGCATAATAGGACCCCTTTAATTGACTTCTTTCAGAGTTACGGCCTACCCCATAACATACAGGTTTTTTTTTTTTTCTCGTTTTTATGTTACTAAAGAAATAATAATTCACTGTCAAATGTGCGAGTCATATTTATTCAATAAAGTATTTTGATTCATTATAAAGAGTCAGTCATTTGATTAATTTGACCGGGAACGTTGAATCTGTGGGAATCACTAAAAAGAGCCGACTCATGAGAGTCATTGGTTCGAAAACCTGTCTACTCTGGTGGCGCTGTACATGTTTTTGATTCATTAAAAAGAACCGACTCAAAAGAGTCATTTGTCCGGGATTCGGGACTACACTGGCGCTTTAGATTTAAAATCGATGCTGCACTGCTGATTAGTAGTGGGAAAAACACCGTCGTAAAGTGTTGCGTTCCGAGTGTTCTAGAATCTCTAAATAAATCGAACGCCACTAACACGTTTACAAAATGGAAGATATTCTAAATAAGAAGTTCTCGGTTCCACTCCATTTGTAAGCCGTGCGTGATGCTTCCTGTTGGCGCAGCCCTGCGGGATACCCAGTTGACCGTTGGGATTAAATGGCTGTAAAGCAAGAAACTCTTGTTTCTTCAGCTGTCCTGGTGACGCGTCCCTAATTCAAATCAAAGCAGTCTCGGAATTCTTAACGCTGATTATCTCTCGCGCGTATGGAGTACTAATTATCTGTTGTTGTTCCAGTTAAACCATAAACCAAAACAGTTAAGAATTTTGTGTCAGATCGTGTTCACATGCACATGTCAGTGTATCCATTACCCACGTTAGCCTATTAGATATGTGTCAAAACATATATGATTCAGACACAGACGTTTAAAACCAAACGTGATCTGCTTGTCAAAACACGGAAACGCATGGTGGTAAAGGCTTTAGAAAGCTGGATTTGGAGTGTGGATATAGGTCAGGTCGTTGACTCTTCCATACGAGGCGTGCATGCGTCATTCGTCTGGCTGGCCTTAATTCTCCATTTACTGCTGATGATAAGAGCACAGGTTATTCGGACTACACACGCGTAAACAATAGCCCATGTCTACAACAATAGGATAGCCTAACAAAAATCTTAACATCGCATCGTCCTTATTAAAGGAAAGAAATACAATTCGGCGAGGTAATGTCTTTATGTTGATTGGCTCTGCAATGGATGTGAGAGAACGTGATGATTCACGATTTCTCATAAGCCTGAGGCAGCTCACTTTAGATTGTGTAACACTTAATCGCAGTCAAAAAGGCGTGTCGCTGTTATCCGATTCCGAATCCGATAAACAGAGACCAATCGCTCCCCCTGGTGTGCCATCGCGCAGCTGCAGACGTTTTGCACTAAGGCGTCGTTGAAGCATTTTGGCTGCCACCCATTGGTAAAAAGTCGTGTCTTCATTTTATTCAGATAAAATAGAAATTCGATATATTTTGATTTCAGTTGAAATAAAGAATTCGCAAGAAAAAAAAAAGAAATATGTAACCCCTGTTATTTTGTTTACTTACACTCGCATTTATGCATTATATAAATAGGCAGTGTATATAGTGATCTATTTTAGAAGATGTAGAAGGACATGATATATTTCCCCTTTCAATAAAACAAGCATAAAGAGCCATATCCACTTCCAGTTTAGTTTATGGAAACATGTGTCAGTACAGTGAAACAGAACACAGTGAGATTTATGTGGAAGCAATTTAAAACTCATGTCGTTTCAACTGACCTTCAATTTAATCGTGATCTGCCCAGTGTCTTCATTTCCTCTGTATGTAATCATCTTTAGATAGACATACAGATATAGATAGATAGATAAATAGATATATTTATTGATAGATAGATAGATAGATAGATAGATAGATTGATAGATTGATAGATAGATAGATAGATGAACCATTAAGGGACTATGGAATGACTAACTCACAGAAGAGATGCAGTAAAAGGGTGCTAAGACTCTCCTTGCAGAATATGATATCATGAGGGATGAGGTCACGAGTCAGAATGTTCAGGAACTCTGGGATCGGTGGATCAGGTGTGTGTAGCAAAACACAATTCTGAAACTCCTAGAGTCAAATGGGAGTTTAAAACCATATAAGGGAAACCAAAGGAGACTACAACGAGCAAATGATTTGCGTGTCTTCTATGAAAAAATAAACTTATTGGATTGAAGCTTTGGTTTGATGTCGCGTCGATCTGACGTAAATTTCCTAGAAAAGTCTTTAATGTGCTTAAGGCGATTTATAGCCAACTCTTCTTGATAAAGTAGGACCAATGAAGTTTTGTGTGAGGCGGGACTTCCTCGCTGTTGAGAAGCAGTGTGGTCCGCAGAGCTGTATGGGAACCCGCGGCCTCTTGGCAAACTGCACGCATTCCAATCTGGCGACGCCGCCCTGACGCGCGCGCTAGCGTAAACACGGACAGAAGCGAGAGAAACGCCGAGAGTCCCAGTGACACATCACATCTTTCGCATTCCCGCGAGCTGCGGGTCGTCTCCTCGGCTCGGGCGGTGTGTCAGAGACCGGGGGGTCCGGTTACCAGTGCTCGGGCTAAAATTAGGGTTGCTTTGGGGCTGACGCAAAAAAACTCTGTAGCAGCGGGGAACGAGGATCCATGGAAACGCGCCCTACACATTCATTGCTATTGATGACAGAGAGTATTTTTGGACTGTGTTGTCATCATTCGGTAACAACGAGGCCTAAGGCGTATTGTATAAAGGGAGGAGGTTGAAAATGCACTTGTACAGCAGCGCGTTAACACACTACCCCGGCTCCTCTCGAAAAGTTTCCGTAACTCTCACCAGTGTCGCCAATAACGTAACAGCAACAGCTACAAGTTCCAGCTCTTTGGAGGTGGTCGGAAACGTCGTTAACGGAAGCGCCACAGAAGCACACACGGAATATTTGTCCCGAAGGGAACAGACTGAACCGAACATGCCTGCTTTTTCATGTTATGAGGCCACCTCGATGAGGCCGGTTTTCTACACGTCTACCGCGGAGATTATCATCACGCGACCGGATGGTGTGGAGAGATCTGTGCCCGTTAACATCGTGAAGGAGTCGCGCACAAACCGTAGACCTCTGGAGACGCACTACAACCGAGTTTCTTACGCAGTCAACGGAGATGATCATCGCCACTCTGATTCTGTCTTAGATTTAGATCCCAGAAGAAACGTTTTGGGGGATGACAACGATGAGATAAGGGAGAAAAATTCAATTCACTGCGATAGGTTTTTTGAAAATGCCAGTTACCGAGTTTGTGAGAGGAGACTCGAGCCATGTTTGCAAAGTGATGCCACACCCTCCAGAATTTTTGGAACTGTACAAAAACCCTCATCTGATTCATATGAAGGTCTTAAAGATACAGAAAGGCAGGAAAGTGTTGAAGATGATAATCCAGTCTTTGAGCTGCGCATTCTTCAGGAGCCCACTGCGACACCCAACAAAAGCGATGTTGATAACAAGGTTACCCGTTACCTGGCCGAAGTGGAGAAACAGAACAAATACCTCCACGAAAGGCAGAAATACCGCTTTCACATCATCCCAGATGGGAACTGCCTGTACCGGGCCGTTTCCAAGGCGGCTTACGGGGACCAGTCAATGCACAAGGAGCTGAGAGAGCAAACCATGCACCACATCGCCGACCACCTGGAGGAGTTCAACCCCATAATTGAAGGCGACGCTGGGGAGTTTCTGATCAATGCGGCGCAGGACGGCGCATGGGCTGGCTATCCGGAGCTGTTGGCCATGAGTCAGATGCTGAATGTGAATATCTACTTGACCACTGGGGGTAGCGTAGAAAGCCCAACGGTATCAACCATGGTGCACTACCTGGGTGAAG